GAGAGAGAGAGAGAGAGAGAGAGAGAGAGAGAGAGAGAGAGAGAGAGAGAGAGAGAGAGAGAGGGCAACTTGATAATCAGCACAGCACATAACTGAAGCTGTACTAGTCAATGGGAAAAAGGAGCTGCTTCTGCAGGCAGACATTAGCACGAACAAAGAAACAAACAAACCAAATGGCACAGACACATACCTGAGGATGTGCCATGATCATAATGACAACGTTTCAGAGGAGCAGTATTGTCATCTAGATCGATGCTCATCTCTGAGTTCGTGCGCTTTCCGTGACAGGCTGCTTGAGTTCTCGGTGGCACAGCAGACCCATTTCTGAAACTCTCAGGCACTCCTGCAACGGCACCAGCAATGATGTCAATGTTGCCATTACTGCCTCCTTGACTTTCTGCCCCATTAGCGCTGCTTGCCATTTGGCCGCTGGTAGTAAAAAAGTCTTTCTCTGCTGCCATCCACCCTGGCACGTGATTATGATCCGACAGGTATTTCGCACCTGCTTCGGAGTTGTTTCGCCTTTCACGGCAAGCTCTGTGGGTTGGAGCAGAATCCTTGTGAAACCCGTGAACTGGGCAAGGACGAGGTTGTGATGGCTGTACAGATGCTGAAGCACGCCGTACTCGCGAGCTCACATTGGGGTTCCCCCGTTCTGAGCGCCTTTGAGATTGCAATGGAGGAGTGAGATCAGGGTCCACAACTTCTTCTTGCTGTGGCTGGCCCGATTGAGAACTACCATTAGCCCCCGGTGCACCCCGCTCCTGCTGTTGCTGACCCAACGATGGTAACTCTGTTGACTTATTCATATCAGCTGCTTCTGCCACTTTGTTCTTCCTCTTGTGTTCGTCCAGTGTCCTGCACAGGAATCCCCAGCCGAAATGCTCAGTGGAATATGTTTTGTTGTCTCCGTTTGTTTGATTTTCCTCTGTCCAGTACCCTCATTTGTATTTACGAGGTTCAATATGCATGCACAGTAAACTCGATGCTTGAAGCTTATGTTATTGACATTAGGCGTGTATTATGCCGTGTACTCAAGAAGCTGAATGAATGACAACTAACCAGGACAATGGGACAAGGAAGCAGACGACTGAAAAGAAGAGAATAACTCATCAATGGGTACAATGTTCTTGTCTCTCCTTCCACCTGGACCTCCAGGCTCTCCTCCTCCTCAAGTCCCCCCTCACTCTCTGATTATCCTATCAACCACTTCTCAGAACCTCCTCTCTCCGCACAAGCCACCTCGCCGAAGGACACTGTCATGCCCCATGCCGGGCCACTCTGGCACTGTTCTCTCAAGACCAACGTGATCAATATCAACATCGGATTTGACAATACCAGCTTTTTGAAGCAGTGTGCTGCCTCCAACCTCAATCGCTATAATTATTAGGTGCATCCCAAATTTCCCAAAATAAGTTTCTTTCTCGCCACAGGAAAATAAGTCTCCTTCCTTCCTGCCTGCCAGCCTGCGTGCGTGCTTGCCCGCCTCTCTCTCTCTCTCTCTCTCTCTCTCTCTCTCTCTCTCTCTCTCTCTCTCTCTCTCTCTCTCTCTCTCTCTCTC